GTATGCATATTTCGAAAAGCGATTCGTTCTGGTCAAGATACAATTTTATATTGGTATCACTTTGCTGGAAAATATGACAGAAGAAAAGATGAAGTTTCTGTTAGTAACAAAGTCGGTAAGAAAAAAGCAACCAGCTTAGTGTATCACGAAATTAAACAGCTTCTACCAGACATAACAGATGTGAATTTACAACATAAAATTCTTAAATCTAGAAAAATTAGAACGCTTTTCAGTGCGGTAGGAATAGAAAAAATTAGACAATTTTCATATAGCGCAAATGCAATTTCTAGCCTCAGTTATACAGTGACTTCCATTTGTTTTGCATCACCCTAATAGACTAACATTAAGATCGAATAATTTTTTCAATAAACAACTAATCATTATAAATTTTATTTATTTTATTTATTGAATTCAAACTAATACAAAAATATTGTTATTTGTTAATTTTATTAAAAAAAAATAAATTGAACAACAAATTTATTCAATTTTTTGCGATGCATTTCTTTTAATTGTTTTTGCTAAAATTTAAATTTTGCAAAATACAAAAAAAAAAAAAAAAAACAAGAACTTTAGTTTTAAAAAGTTCACCATTTAGTGTATTCCCTCCTTGCATTAAAAGCATCAATTACTCATTGTGGCATGCTTTCAATAAGCTTGTCAAGATACTCTATATTCATATCAACTCAAACTCTTTGGATTACTTTTCAAAGTTCATCTGAATTAGAAATCCCTATAGATAACCACCTTATTCGTTGATCAATTTCATTCCATAAATTTTTTATAGGGTTCAAGTCAGGTGAATAAGGTGGTTAGTCAAGTACCTCGAAATTATTATGATAGAATCACTTCTTAGTCTTAGTAGCAGTGTGTTTTGAATTGTTGTCCTGTTGGAATATTATATCCTTTTTATTGATTCTATGTTACCATAAGGTTCCTAGAAGATCTTCAGTTAAAATTTGACGGTATAGATCCCCATTTATTGTCCTATAGATTCATACAATATTTCCAAGTCCAAAGGAGAAGAAACATCTCTATATCATAATACTACCACCTTCATATTTCTTTGTTAAAATTATATATTATTTATTTAATGGTTCATTACACTATTTTCAACACCACTGATGTCTGTCAGATCTATTTATTTTAAACCTGAATTCATTAGATCAAATAACCCAGCATTAATCCTCAATACTTCAGTCTTTATATTTTTTTGCAAATTCATAATGTTTTTTGCGAGTTTTTTGGGTCAATAATGGTTTTTTTTGCTTCACTCGGGCAGCTAACCTATTTCTTCATAATGTATGCCTTATCGTGTTTTCATTTGTTTCAATTTTTTGGTCAATCTTTATTTTTTTTTTAATCTTTACAGCATTGGAACATTCATCAGATGCAAGTAGTTAGATTATATTTCACTTATCTTACTCTGTAAACACCTGTGGACATCCTGATTTTGGTAAGTCATTTATAGTGCCTGTTTTTACTGCTTTTTGGTTGATTCAAATAACTGATGATTGTGACACATCTTCTTTTTTTGCAACATAATGGGAAGGATAACCTTTATGAACAAGAGAATAGATTTAGGATCTCCTTTAGTATAGGTGGGCATATATAAATTATTACAAAATTATAATATATAAAACCTATCTAATTTAGGCCAATTTATATTATAACCCTAACTCTGACTTTAACTATCTGTAAATTTACTTAAATTAATTCAAAATTGTTAATTTATATATATTATAATTATATAATAATCATATTTGCCCACCTATATTAAAGATCAACCTAGATTTATGATCTTTTTTTAACAGAAATACAAACTATGTTTATGTTTACAGGCAGGAGAGTTACAACAATGAAGAGTATAAGCAAAATTTTGAAACTTTTACTAGAAATTTATTTTTTGTTTTATGGAAAAAAATTATAATTGTTTATGTAGTTATTTTTTTATATATAAATAATCAAATGATTTGCATTACTATTTTTAGAATTAGTTAAAAAAAAATCTAGTTTTAGTATTACATCACTTGATTTTAATAATTATTTATAATATTTATCTTCTATTATTTTAAATTATCATATTTGTTAACAAATATCATAACTGAGACATGAGATATTACTATTTTTTTAACATCAATGTAGGTGATGCAAAACAAATAGAAGTCACTATATACAAATCCAAAATAGTATAAATTATGTTAATGAACAGACTTTTGATTCAAATATTCCACTAACCAAGAAAACTTTGGAAGAAGATATTATAACTGAGGATGGCAAACAATCACTAGAGACTAAGATGTGTATACCTATCAAATCTCATGTTTTCCCAAAAAACTATTCTGAAATCAAAGTAAATGCATTATTTAATCTAACTCGTGATTATGCTTATTTTCATAATAAAATATTGGGTTAATATCCTAATATATATAGAGAATTTAGTAGTGAAAAATTCAATTATTATAGAATTATTGATAAATCATTATATTCAGCATACAAACTAAGTTATAAAGATGAAAAAGTATAAAAAGTAAATATGAAGCTGGATCTTATTTTATTAAATGCAGAAAGCATGAAATTGAGATAACAATATAAATTCTGCCTTCTCACAGTAACTACTCAAAGTCAGAAAAAAATATCAGAGGCAAGCAAATAATATATACTATTTATTTTTTTAGCATCTTTGGTACTTGCTTTGCTAATTATTATTTTGAGATATGTACAGAGTGTTAGCATATAAGTATCCTTGTTAGCCTTGTTAAATAAGTGAGACAAAGACATAATTTGAATTTGCAATCATATAAAACAATAATATGGATAAAGTCTTAATCTCTGAATATTTGAACTGGCATGCTAAATTGGTTGATTTACTGAGTTATTTATCAGATAAAATTCATTTGAGCTTATATAGAGCATATACAAAAAAGACTGGACTCAATTCTTGAATAAAGTCTGAAACTTCCAAATCTTTACAATTTGAAAAGGATGCCAAAAAAAGATGTTATTTGTACTACAAATAAATGTTTAGTCTACATCATCCAAACTTCAGTTATCAATTTCTATTTTATCTAAAGATCTAGAAGAGAAACAAAAACATGTTATTAAAATAGTATTAGAGCAATTTTCTTATTTAACTTTGAAACATAGTTTTAAATATAGTAATTATTTTGATTTTAATAGATCTGTACTCTGTTCTATATGCAATAAAGACTATAAAAAAAATATATAAGTTAATATAGAAGGTTTATGGGAGAGTGGTAATTATGTCAATACAAAAACTTATTGTCTCTATTGTTATATAAATAAATATCAAAATTCAATTCCAATAGTAATAGGAAAAGCATAAATTAATAAGTAGAGCCCATTTACAGAATTAATTAAAAAAAATAGTAAGCTTATAGGACCCTCTTTTTATTTAATAAAACATTGTTGCCAAACATTATACAAATAAAATATATATTTATTATATAATAAAAAATGCTCTTAATAGGTTAGGTTGGTGGAGTTTACATTTGATCTAATATTTCCTCTTACTAATCAGGATTTAACCAATCATTATCATCATTGTTCTATCATGCTCTAAGTTTTCTTTTGACATTTTTTCCCAGATCTCATCATAAAATAAAAATTCTCTCAGCTTGTATTGTCATTTTGATTTAGAATAATTAGAGGTCTTATTTTTTTTGTTCTTAGAGGTAGTGGTTTTTTTGTTACTGCTTATTTTTATACCTAAATACAAAAAACAACATAAGCAAAAATTTGTTTTCATAGTCTTTATTAAATAAAATAACAAATTACTTAAAAAATAAATTACAGGCAAGTAGACAAGTAAAAATATATATGAGTAGAAAAAAAATTTATTGGTAACCCACCTTATAAGATAAAAACCAGCTAATTTTATACTGCCTTATTTCATATTATATAGCAACCCAGGTACAATATACAGTACTATTGCTTCTGAAATAAGGATGAGTCTATGATTCATAATCTTTTGAATCTAGATCTGAAAAAATACATAATTAGAAATTATGTTATCCTAAAACAATGCTGGTTCACACTTAACAAAGCAACTTCATTTAGTTATAAACTCCAAATACTGAATCTATTTTGTTATTTTATAGGTAAATTAAATCCTTTTAGATTTGATGATCACTTCTGTGAAGTTAAAAAGTTAACGATCTTCAAGATCTGGAGATTTCAAGCCTTATATAATATATGAATTTGGGTAAAACTTCTGTTAAGGAATGTTATACTTATTACTTTTATAGTCTTTTTAAGCTTTATTCTTATTGCAATATTATATAGGATAAAAAAAGATCTAAGCATTATTTACATTATTCGTAATATTTATTATTAATAAAAAAATTGACTGTGAGAAATGATTTTGCAAGAGAGTATTACAAAACCTTATATTACTTCTGTATTTACAATATTACTGTATTAATACAGTGTCTCTTCAGAAGTAATAAAAAAATTCTGATATATTGATGTAGATAAGCTTTGAATAAAAGGTGGTCTTACAGGTCTGTTAAGACATGTAATAATAAATACTTTATTTTTTTCAACACAAATGTACCAGTATTAATATATGTTTACATAATTTATTTCAATACAGATTGGTACCAACATGATTTAATGGCCAATAATAAAAATTATATGGTTGTGTTAAACTAATGTACATTTATGTTTATAGATATTTATAGGTATTTATATTTTACACTTCTGCATTTTTGCACTTTGGTAAAAAAAATTGGAAACATGTTTGTTATAAGTATATCAATAACAATGAGTGTATAATGGTTATTTTAAATTTGTAGATCTAGCTTAAATATAATGTGTAAAATTATTATTGTACCTGTATATTCAAATATGTTTTTTAACAAGTTATTAATAATCTAATCTTGAATATAGAAAATGTGTGATGATTGATTTGTTGTATTCTATAATTGTAGTGCCGAATTTAGTAAACTTTTTAATTATTTGTTATATAGTATTAAATTATTGTCATGATGCCAAATAAAAATTATTAGTTGACTTGTATTAAATTATCCTAATACTGAGTCATTTGTATTATATATACTGCTTCATGTCAAATAGTTATGTAATAAATAAAAATAAGTTGTGATTTATGCAAAGTATAGACAAGCCCTATAATAAAAGAGTTATTTACAAAGTTCTGACTTGTTTTTCTCAAAAATTTTTATAAAATTGCTTATTGTATTATCACTATGTTATTGCTAAATA